ATCGATGGGATCAAATATGCATGTAAAGTCATCATATTTTAAATTGTTCAAAATTCATATCCGCTCTCTGCTCGATAAGTTCAATCCATTCATCAGACCGTACGTCATTGAATATCTTAGCCAATACGGCAAATGAAAATCGATGATATAAAAAAAAGTTCAATGTCTATGTCTATACACAGCTGAAGCACTTTATCACCATAAAAATAGCTTCCAAAAACAAATGAGTTTGTAAAAATAGAATGAAGCATCAGGTTGATCGATAAGCTTTTAAAGGTGAAAAGAAAACAATGGAGGATGTAAGTTCAAGCTTATTGAAGAAGTGGAAGTGACAAAAGACATTTGTTTATGGTAAAGGACATTAATATTGATTAATAATGAATCATTAATTTTACATTGAACAAATGTGTCATTTATAGGACATAAATTCAATATCAGAAACAATAAAAGAATATCCAATAATATATTTTCGATGAAATTTATGGATAAATTGTCAATTTAATTGCTTGAAGGTAGAAAAATCGCTTATATGTAATTAATTTTGAGCATTATAAATTGTTATTTAATTTTAAACAATGTAAAGCTTGTCAATAAATATGTAATTTAATAAAATTGATAACATACAATATTCTTCTACTCTTCACATTGTAATGTTCAGATCGGAAAGAATTATCGATAATATCGTTCATTAGAGAACAATTAAATTTCAAATAATGTAGCTTTAATCGCACATGTAGACCATAAATAAGGGCAATCATTCAGAAATTATGATCAGTTTTTATCAATTAAAGGGAAAAATTTCTTTACAATCATATAATTGGAAAAAGTTAAGATAAACATTTACTTAACCGCATGTTTAGAATCGTAATTGAATTGTGAACTTTACGATAGGTAACGGCTGACGAGTCACTGCATTTACAGTAAACTTGCTGACTCCATAAAAAAGTATGGTTGAAAAAAAAATCTCCGCAATGAAATCTGTAGTATAAAATAAAGCTTATAAAGCTAATTTTCGAATGTTTACTTTTTAAATTACATCAACAATCAGTCTAGCACAAAAAATAGAATTCGAAACATGAAAGAAATTTTTTTTTGGCTTAATAAAAATTCAATTTTTTCTCTCTTTTTCTCGCACAAATCAATTTTCACATAAAAGAGTGTGTACTGATGTGATTATTCCTTTCCTTTTACTTTTACATCCAATTTGTTCAAAGGTAACATTTCCTCTCCATGAGAAGAAGAATAGAAATCAATAAAATCATGAGAGGAAAGAGAGGCTTTAAAGATGTTATAAGTTTATGTATATTTGCGTATATACATGCACATATATTGGTTAAGTCATGCAGAATTATAAGGTGAATAAGTCAATATTTATGCATAACACCTGAATGATTTTTTCTTCGTCATTTAATTTTTAAAATTAAAATGGATAAAGTTTCAAGTTTTTTTTTTGTATCTTCTTGTTTAAACTTCATAGAGTTCACTTATTTCGTATCAGGGAGGGTTTGTAGCTTGAAACTTTTGAAGCAAAAGCGACTGTTAAAGCAAATCTGTATTCATTTTAATTAGTTGCTAAGATGCATTTTAGTAATTCAATTATGATTCGTGAAAAGCTCATTTCGCAAACTTGATAAAGGACATAAATAAAGATCGACCAATAAAAGTCACTTATTGTTACAAACAAAAAACTGCCACAATTCCAATTTTTATGATTCGTTTTTATTACCATCAATTAATTTCAAATTACCAAAGAACATGGCAACAAGGAACATGAATGATTGGCTTAATGGATATAAAATAGCAACACACAAACACATTTTGTGCAATGCAATGAATTCATTGATCGATATTTGAAATGTCATCAACATTTAGTACAGAAAATGTCAATAAAATTGAAGGTGAGATCACAATGACCTAAATCTGAGCTACTTCCATTTTACTTTATCTCATTATCATATAGATTTTCTATAGGAATTAGGTCATTATGAGTTTAATGGAGATGTCTTTATACCAAACAAATAAATGGAAAAATTATTTTGCATTCATGAATTTCCTTTCTTTTTTTTCAAGGCTTCCTATCTTATGCTCATGTTGAGTTAGCTTGTGGCTATACTTTTGAAATTATTATGTTGACTTACATAAAGGAATATCGAAGTACAGAAGAATGTAAACTATTTGAGAATTCTTTTTTGTGAAGTGGAAGTTTCGAGAACTCATATAGCATGTACAAAGTATATGACTTGTGCTGCATAAGGAAATATGCAAATTTTTTCTGTTCTTATCAGAGAAATAAAAACTTCAATAATTGTATTCACATGCTGCTCTTTGTGCCTTTTTTATGAGTAAGAAGAAGCTCACCTTATGTATGTGCCCAAATGATGTGTCCCTCTCTCTACTTTGATACAAATTCTTTGTTACCTTTAGAGTGGGTTTTGTAAATTATTATATAAACAAGAATTTTGATGAACCTTTTGTTGCCTTCTGCAATTCTCTAATTTAAAATTTGTTGATTTGATTGTTTCTGTTGTGCAATTAACACCATTTCTGGAAAGATAAAGCATGAAAATTATTTCATTAATTTTTATTTCAACCAAAAATATTTTTGTAGGTACGTAAACAAAAAGTGCTACAAAACATATGAATCAGATTTAACCTCATCCTGGAAATGAAAATATTTCCACAAAGCACTCGTGTAGATGCCATTTTCACCACAAAATTATATGAAACATATTTTTTGTGAAAATCCCTAAAAACAGAGTGGATATTCAAGTATTTATTCAGTTCAGATTGCTGAAATGGCTCGGGTCCATCACAAATGACGTATATCCGAAAATCTAGTGGAAAACCTTCAATTTGTTAATCAGAAATTTGGTTTCTCTTTATTATACTTTATCGTTTTTTAATATTCCAAACTCAATAATTATTTCGTACTAATCGACACTTTTTAACGAAAGAGAAGAAATTTGAGAAGTTATTTTATGAATTTTAATTGTTGAATTAATTTTAAAGGATCTATATAATAGTGATTTAAGTCCAAAATCAAGTTTTCAGAACCATGCGAACTTTCGAAAGCAAGCAATCAAAAATAGAGAAGTGAGGTTGATGTACCTTTTATTACCTCCATACCCACTCCAGGAGTCAGTTAACAAAAAATTAATCGACAGCTTCCGTTTACCTAAACATTCTATCCAAAAACAAGTAATATATTGTTTCATAATTTAAACGATAAAACTTTTGGTTGTCTGAGAAGTTAAAGCACTTAAAAGAATGTTCCTTAATGCAACAGAAAAATTTGTTATTGAATAAAGTAGAAACGTCAGCTCCAATATTCCGTGACTGTAGCAAAAATCGTAGAAAGTACAAATAAGTTTTGCAATCATGCCATTAAATCTCTAATAAGAAAGAATGAAAAAAAAAAATGCTCAGAGAAAGGTCGAGTGTCTTGCATTCTATATGCTTCATATCAACCACATATTGTAAAGGATAAAAATCAGATTCAATCTTTTTATTACGTTACAATCTTCTTTGATTTATTGATTTATCTCGACAGCTCTATGATACACTTAACTTTTTCCACAAGTTCTAATCGTCATCTCAATGATCAATTTTAAGAGCTTGTTAAATACTGTAATGGTGGTAAATTGGCACTTGATCTAGTGAATGCATGATAAAAATCTTAGATCTTCATATTCTATTGTAAAAATCAAGTAGATTTAAGGTTTCAATCAAGATCTTCAATTTTGTTAAGTTTTGTCATGCAGAAGCTTTTGAATTGTACAGTATCATACTTCTGCCATCATTTTTGTATGACATGATTAAAATAAAATTAAGTAACACTGACCTACTTTTTAAAGTTCAATAAAATGTCATTCCATTTGTTCAATTCTCAAGTCAGCCATTAAAAATTGTCAATGATTATGCAATAATAAATTCACTTTAATTGTCAATAAAAGCCCCGTCTATCTCGTATTGCAATCATAACATTATTCATGAATTTTTGATAAGTTTGAAGCCCAAAGCTACTCAACAAATGATCTTTATTACTCACTTGTGCATTCTCCTCGACCTTTCATTTAAAATGCAAAATGAATTGTTCAAAAACGAATAATTTACGCAAATTAAATGCCAATATTGAATTTTACGGAAATTGATTTTTTTTCCTGTTCCAATTGACTGATTTTTTTGGAACAAAATTGCTTTGAGGCATATTATCAAGCAAATTTTCTACATCATTATGGTTTGTTTGGAGGTTTTTATATATTTTTTTTTTTTGATAACAAAATAATGAAATTTCACAAAACGATAAATTTTGATAAGCACTAAGTGCATGAAAATATATTAAGCTTATAATAAATATTGAAGTTCAATCAAATAAAACTCATCGATTGAATTTAGAAGTTACGAAAAAACTTCAAGCGCTTGAGTTTTCACTTTTTTAATTTCTTTTACTTTTATTCACCCATAATAATCTGTAAGGTACAGACATTTGAATGAAAATATCGATTTTCTATTTTTACTCATTCTTAACATGAAAAAGAATATCTCAAAAGTACAGAAAAATGGAAAAAATCTGAAAATTGCAGAGCTGAAAAGTAAGAAAGAACTTTTCTTCATTTTCAAAGATTAGGGGTCTTCCATAAGTAACGTCAAACTTATATAATGTATAATTTTGTATGGAAGTAAAATATCATTTCCAACCAACCACAATGAAAAGTTTGAGAGAATATTTGCATGGAAAGTGGAAGCGTTAATACTGTTTTTATGTTACACTCGACTCGACTTTCGTAAAGATTTTTAACACATTTTTTACAAAAGCAAACACTGCTGGCAGATTCATCTCGCTTTACTTTTGAATTTCCAAGAAGTTCATTTACATCTTAATGCTTCCATTTGCCTCAGTAAGTGGAATGTTATCTACAATTTAAAATGAAATTAAATGTGCACAGACACAATCATTGATAACATCAGCGACTGAATTAAAACTAATTAAAGTAAAATTTTTCATTATGAACTCATTTCGTTCCTTATTATTCAAACTTAAGATCTCTTCACATAATCAATTATAATTTCAAATTGCTATTCATTTGGTCGAATCGATAAAGTGCGTCCATGATTTCGGTATCGAAGCTCTCTGCATTGTTTCTAATTAGAGTTCTTATGAGACCAATGATATCGATGATTCCAAAGTCATTGATGACTCCATTTACAGCAGGAATAAACTCGTTGTTCAACCATAAATTTGCGTTGATATTAGAAAGTGCTATTAATGCAGGGAAAGCGAGGCGTGCAGCTGGATTAAAAAGCAATTGTAATAACGGACCAAATCCTTCAAAGTTAGGGTCAACTGAAGAAACTGAATAAGCAGTAATAACAGTCTTTAGGTTAGGACGAATGCGGCCATTAATTTCAATTTGAACATAAGCAGAAACTTTGAAGTTATTTAAAGTCATTGTGAATGGTCCACTGCCGACAGCTGAAGAACTTTGTAATAATGTTGCGTTAGTTGAATGAAACCCTTCCATTTCCAGCTTATCAAATGATAGGGAAATCATTCCAAATAATCCTAATGGTCGAATATCGACTTGATCAATCTTAAAGTCGTAGATTCCTTTCAAAGTAGTATTTGTAAGTCGCATTTGGAAGCTAAACGTGTATAAGTAAAAATGCAGTTCGGCCATTATAAATGTCTTTTAAAGCAATGGAAAAAAATATATTAAAGACATTGAATGTTACCTAGAAAATCCAGCAATTTCTTCAGTTGGATCAATGAAATATTCATCGATGTAGAATGGATCGAGAGGTGGAATTACTGGAGGTACACCAGTAAGGATCAAATGTCTCTGACTTTCCAATAAATCTTTGACAGCGTCATTGATGACATCACGGAATCGATCAATGATTTCCAAAATTATTTCTGCGACTAAATTGAAAATTTATTTTCAAAAATTTTTCCAGAAGATTCACAAAATTAAACTCACGTGAATAATTTTCATGACCAATTTCATTGGACACCAACTGTTCTATTGCAGATAAATCGTTATAAGAATCAGCTGTAGAACCCCATGCAAAAATAATGACGCAGAATGTTATTAAAAATTTCATTTTCTTTCTTTTAAAAAACCAAGTTAACAAGTTAAAACACCACCGAATACTGAACAGGCCAATAATTAATAAAAAATAAATCTCAGAGGATTTTTATCAACGAGCCAATTATATCACAATACTTAAAAATAATTGATAAGCCTTTTATCAAATGTTCAATTGATTTCTTGTGAAACTGAACAGTTAGTCATATTCGGTGATTTTTAATCGATTTAAAAGTTATGAAGTCATAAACCCTACGCAATGATTTTCTTTTCTTAATGCCGAACCGGAAGAAACCTTCTCGAATTGAATAAAATAAACATTATTTTTATTACGGAATGTAATCATAGAATTAGTTTTGATGAGCTAAGCATCATGATTCATACGAATTTACTTTACATTTTTACAATTTATTCAGGAGTAGTTCGAGAATGAACATTTACAGGAGGTAAAAATCGAAAAACAACAGCTGAAATGTTCAAGTAGCTTAATATCAAGAGAAAATTGAACAACCCCTCCCCAAGCAGTCAGATAATTGAGAAAACCAGATTTCAACTCTTCCACTAATCATTGAATTTTAAAAAATGTCTTTATCACGATGATTAGGGTAATTTTTGAATAAGTTATTAAATAGCAGAATACTTGGCTCTTGGTCAACTTTCAAGCATATTTTTTTTGAAAATCATCCTTAAAGACAATGATTCTTCTTTTTTATTGAGAAAAAACAAAACATTAATATGCTTGACGTAAATGTGCCTTCAAGGAATTGCGATAAGTAAATTTCTTACTTAGAATCGTTGTTTGCAGCACAGCGATAGCATAAAAATCATGTGTTCATTTTCTCACAAGCGTTTTTCACACGATAAAATTCATTACAGAAAAAATTTACATATTTAAAGCATTTTTCTCATGAAAACACAATTTTGTGTTTTCGCAATTTCATGGCACTAATAAAAATAATTGTGCTTTCAGATAATTACACTCATTTTATGTAATGTGAGAAGCTACACTCAAAACTCAATAAACAGATCTCAAGCATCAACCACGTGTTTGATTCCTCTTGAAGACAAAACCTCAAGAGCTTCATTTTAAAAATGAAAAAAAAACCAAAAAGCTTTTCACGGAAATTTTACACTGAATAGCAATCGTAAGGAAAGTTTGGCAACACTGTAATCAATACTTTTTATTGTTTTATGAAAAACGAGTTTCTTTTATTTCATACTTTTCTATGAAACCCACAAAATTATATTCAACAGTAAGTTGTACACTGCCAAACATCTCAAGTTCATAAAATAATCACTTTGTTGAGCGTTCGGTTAAATAAATATTTACATCATATGAGATTGAGTTTGCAAAATAAAGGCGAAGAAAATGAAAAATCTATCAAAAAACATGAAACAAAATCAATAATATTGAAGATTATTAACTGTTTTGGTTCTTGGTATGAAGATTTAAGAATTAAGTTTGCCAATTTAATAAATAATTTAAAATCTTAACCAATAAAGGTAAAACTAGTTTCGATTAGAATACAATAGCTAGTAACAATAAGCACTGAAATAAAACAAAGGATCCTTTATCAAAGTCCAAACTTTCTCTATAATGCATAAACTTGTTGCCAAACAAAACATTTGACTAAACAATTTCAATGTTTATTTCCAAAATCAAATATCTCTTAGTAGAACAAATGTGCATAATTGAAACATTATTTGAAAAGAAAGTTCATGTTGTTATTATAAATAAATGAGTTGTAAATACCACATTGTAAAATCTCAGATGTTCTGCTATGAGTGAGAAATTAATTTATTGCATTTTTTTGTTCAACTGCAAAGCATGAACTGCATTTTTCTCATTTGAATTTTTCTGAGATATTTATGGACTCAGAAAAGCGGAAAAAATATTTCACGAAAAAAATTAAGACATGTGCAATTTTCCGCAATTTTCTTTCGCTTCTTCTTCATTTCATCTTAATTGCTTCCCATTTATTCTTGTCTATTGGAAATAATTTTCGTCTTAATTGATTTTGGGCTCATAAAATCCATCAAATCGAGTTAATTTCACCTTCTACCTTTACTTTCTGAATAGATTAAATGGAAAACTTTTATCTCCATTCCGTGCCCTTCTTCCAATAATAAATTTAATCGATTATCATATAAGATTTTATGACGTAACTCGATAGCATTACGATTATCATGATTATGATTATCATTAAGAACCGAATGGATTATTATGATATCCAATAAAATTATTCATTTCCATTTTTACGTTTACATCCTTTCTTCTTCTTCCTACTTTACATGTTGATTCAAAAAATTGATTTTAATGTGTAGTTCCTTTATTTCGATGAAGCAAAACAAGTTCATATCCTCAATAAATGCTGAAGAATCACAATTTCAACATGAATTTAAATACAAATGAAATATTCAGTAGCACTAATAGTTCCAGTTTCAATCCGTGCTTAAGAAATTAAAATTTCAAGCACTTAAATAATTAAAATGTAGCACTTCTTATTTCACTCAACTCAAAACAATCCAATCTTATCCTCATTTTAATCTTCATTTAATTTCATTATCTGCATTTGCATAATTTAGAAAGTTTTAAGGAAGTTGAATGACTAATTTTCAATTGCTTGTTTTAATTTGTTCTATTTTCGTCTTTTAAATGCAAATCACTTTCAAATCGACAGTTTGTTCTTCATTTTGTTTATTATTATCTAAATTGACGAACTCAAAGAAGACTTAACGGGATTCTTAACACAATGTCAAAGCTATTTGAGCTATAAGAGTCAAAGCTATGAGAATAGAGCAGCCGACATAATGTCTTAAAACACGAAAAGGAACAACTCTAATTCATGTTTTTGAAGCAATTGTGAACTTTTGTCAAAGACCAAGCATTTGGATCATAAAGTTCAATTATAAAATATATGAATTAAATCTCCTGAAAACATCCACGTTGCTCCGATAATGCAGTGGTCCAAAATAAAACCAAACATTCACGTTGATCAAGTTGAGATTGATTTTCTTTTAATTTTGTAATGAAACTTAATTGAATACATTAAGTATGCATGAGAACTTAGTGTAAACATATTCTTAAAGCATTAATGCTGTACATCGTTAAAGTATTCTAAAACTTTTTTTGGCATGAATTTTAATACGCACGAGTCATAATAAATAGAGGGGGATGAGCAATAAATTTATTGAAAACTTTCGACATAAATTAAAAGTCTTAGAATACTCCCTTTTGCCAAATAAGAGAGAGTATATATTTTGATTAAAACGGCAAATAAAAAACTGCTCGTTGGGCTATAAATTATCATCAAAAAATGTATCAAGATCAGGAAATGGTGGGGATGCAATTGATGCATGAAATATTAAGCTGCCACGCCAACAATCTGATTCAGTAATGACATGAAATATGGCTTGAAAAAAATCGATACAAGACATCATCCTTTTTATTAAAAGACAAAACAGTCTGCCAGCAATTGCTTTAAATTATAATCGGATTACAATTTTATAGGATCAAGAAATAAGTTGGGTTAGAAACTGATTGAGGGAAATATTCTCAATCGTTTGTGGGAAAGTATCTATCCCTTTATAATATTATGACTGACTGAATACATTTAAAAGTCACAGCATTATTGTTTGATGCCAAAAGTCATTAAAAATGAATTTGACAATGGAAAAGTATCTTCTTACAGCTTTCCATAAAGGTAGATTGAGGAAATAAAAGGAAAGCATTCGCACGGTCGTTAAGTAAGCAGGTAGATAGTTTTATGTTACAGAAAACGAAAGCTGAATGAACCTGGATGAATAAACAGAACAGATACAGATGTAAAAGAAAGTCATCATTTTGGTCAAGTCAAAAAATTAGATACGTTTAATTTATAGGCGCCTTGAATTTAAATTAAAGTTTGTTAAAACAAGTGTATTATTCCAGAGATGGCTGATGCGTCTGTAAAATTCGCAATATTATTCCAATACCAAATGTACAAACAAAGAAGATTTCATTTCCTTGAAAAAGGAAGGAGATGTTTTAATATTGGATTCTGTTTTTCCTCGAATGAAACTTTAATGGACGCAAAATCTCAAAAACATCAAAAAATGTATTCATCCATCATCAGAATACAATGAGATTGAATGTATAGCTTTAGTCAGAATCGTAGCTTCATGTTTTGTTGCATGCAATTGAGTGCTTTTGTTCAGAGATTATATTACATCATTGCATGCATACTGCTGGAAGTTTGCAATATATTTTTCGAAGATTCTAGAATGTTTGGGATATTTTGGAGAATTTTGAGCAACATTTAGGTAAAATATCTCGTTATTAATTTATTTTGAGGCTATAAATCATTTATTCTGACTATTACATCATCGATTCTTAAAATAAAGCCAATATCAACTTTCAATGTGCGTAATGAAATGTAACCATATTGACGATACCTTCATGCTTCATATTTGTTGGGGAAAATAATAAAGAAAATGAAGAAAAGCAATATGTATAAGAGAAACAATCTTCGTCAGCAAAAACGAATAGACTGTAATTGAAAAAGGATGGAATTATGCAATGTGTCATGGAATTTATGATTTCCGATTACTTTAAAAGCATATTGTAGAAGATTTATGATACTTTCATATCGATTTGTGGAGATAGGAAATACGTTGATTTTAAGGAAATTGTTTTGCATCTCGTGTATGATTTCATTAACGATTGCATTGCTCATTGGAATTTATTCTCAAATAATCATGATTCATAATTTTTTCTCGCACCTTTGAGTAATAAATGCATCACTTACCAAGTATATCTCATGACTTAATCCATTCTTTTTTCGCAGAATTTGAAACTATTTCTTCAATTTAATACAAAACTTTTGGATACGATAAGTGTTTTGTTTGTTATTTTTCATTCACTACCTTTTTTCACTTTCTCACATTTGCGTATCTTTTATTTAATTCATCACCATAATCATCATTATTCCTGAAATTAAAGGAAAATGGGAAGAAAAATTTAGTCAATTTATCGTTCAAAATATTTAAAGTAAATATATTAAAGAATTTATTGATTCGATTCATGTTTTACGTGTTCAACAA